AAGGCTCTGTGGTGAGCATAATCCTGAGTTGCTGTCCCAGGCAGCAGTGGCCAGTGGCGAAGCCAGGACTGATGTTTTCTGTATTCAGTCGTACCCGAGGGCCTGATTGCCTGTCTGCGTGTTGTGTCAGATGTAATGATGACAGTCGCTTTTACATAAATGTGTAGCGATTTAAAGTGGTGTATGATTTGCGTGTTGTATTTCCTGAGGTGTGTCGTGTGTAGAGGCCCCCTGCTGCGTGGCCCCGGTGTGGCAGCCGCGGTTATCTGGGCCCACGTATGTGTGTGTGCCTGTGTGCACACCTGTATGCGTACGATGGTATCATCTAGTCGGGAAGTGCAGTCTGTGACCATGCATGATTTTGGGGGGCAGCTGGCCTTGGAGAAAGAAGACGGAGACGGCATTGTTGGCCATCCGCCACAACACCGAGGGCAGAGCTGGAGTACAACCAACGCTCTAATCAACAGAGCTACGAGATCCCATCGGAAGCCGTGATTTTTATAACATGGAAACATATGAAGTCCGCCAATTCTGATACGCAAGCGGAATTTCCTAAAACGTCAACCTAGAATCTCCCAGATGACTATCAGGCTCACTTTATTCATAGGAGGTTTGACAGAGTTGAATGATTCATTTGACTCACTTATAAAAATTCGACAACCTCTGTGAGCTTTTACCCCAGGACAGCAAGCTAGCGGCTTAAGCACAATCAACACTCTAACTTGCTGCGTTGCGATATCTCATCAGCACAAGAAAGTCCAAATCAGTCGCGGTGGTTTCCTAAATAGGACCAATAAAAGCAAAATTATGAGCCCACTATAGTGTTCTTGATTTGCGCTAGATATTTGGGTTCAGACTATTTTGCTAGATGGCAAAGAAACGATAATGCCAAAACATTCTTTTTCGTGCTCGTTAAGTCAACATGCTGCAAAGTAGTGCAGATCAACGTTTTCCCGACTACCACGCATGTATATTTCTGCCCAATTGAAGGCATCCAAAGCATTCGAGTGTTGAATGGAGGTTTTATTCAAACTGCATATTGCAGTTTACGCGAAGAATTTATTCATTTATTTGAGTGGCGCAAATTATTTTACCGGCTTTTAATCAATACAGGGCCTTTTACGGCTTATTTTGACGGCAAAACCTGGATCGAACTGTTGTTGGATCGTCCTGGAAGAGAAACACAGACCGCTGTCGACCATCTCAAATTCCGTTTTCGGACGTCAAAAGTGAATGGACTTATTCTCTATGGCGATGACAGTCAGCGTGATTACTTAACCGTGGAATTATATCGGTACGCCCGCTTCTCCTATTGAAGCAACGTAAAATAATCTTTTGCATTAACTGACTCGATAAGTCAATGATTTTTAAAAATTTTGGACTTTAGAAAAGAGGTCGACTCATGCCTTACAAATCAGCATCACTCACCTCTCAAAGTCACGCAGAGCTCTCTGCCACTGAACAGTAGAAGCTTTCGGCTGGCTGACTTTTACGCTCTTTACAGAAGTAAAATTATGGACTATAACCCCCTTTTTATCTGTTTGACTTCCTTTAACCAAATGAACTGTTATCCGCAAAACTTGATTTACCTTCCTAAACAGACGTTTAAAAAGCCGAATCCCTATCCATTCAATATGAATAGCGTTGGACCCAAAGTCGCACGGGTTGGGCGTTCTTGTGAGGCAGTTTTTGCCTTTGATTAATAATAAAAAACGCCTACCACATTTTCAGTAATTCAAAGTACCGCCTATCCAAGCACTTCAGTGATCATGTTAACCATTAGGAGTTGTTCTAATAGTATTTTTTGTCTATAGATATCCTTTTCTACCCTTTTTATCCTTCCCCCAACCTTTTAACTTTCATTTTAAGTTAAGCAAAACCACTGGTGTACCCCCACCCTTTCATTCCCCTTTAACCACGAATTCCCTAAGGCATTTAGCTGGGGAAACTTTTGGCATTAAGCGGTCTCACAAGAAAACCTTACCATCGCACAAATGCCATTGGAAATATATGCTGAAATACATATATCGATTTTTATGGCGCTCTCTGATTGGTCCACGCGTGCACCACTACCTTTTTAGGGCAAGACTCCAGGTCTCAGTGAACCTGGGCATTTTCCCATGGGCGGACGAGCAAACGGATAACAGCGTCCTTGCTGGCAGTCTCCTTGATGATGACCAATGGCACGACGTTTCCATCATAAGGACAGAAAAGAACCTAAACATATCTGTGGATGGCGTATCCACGTGGAGGAACTTATCAGCCATATTTGTGCATATGGATATGAATCGGAAGGTGCGTTTGCCTTTTAATACCAACAGTTTCTACTTCGAAATGTTCCCCCTTCCTGACAGCCAGTGAAAACTTACCGTCTTCTAAGAACGTCTAGTGATCCAGCAGTATAGTTAAGTCCTATCGGCAACTGAAACCCGACTGCTTCTAATGCAATGACTCTTTCAAATGAACTTGAAAATGGGTGAGATGTCAGCTTCAGACGATAAGAAAAAGTTGTGATGTTGTCTGCAGTCGCTCAGGATGAGATAGCAATATTGACGAATGGACATATTACTCTTATCCGCCCAATCTGTATGGGATTATATTTAAGATTAGGTTGGCGTTTTGTTGTTAGAGTAAGGGGTTTGAAATTAGGTTTAGGTTAGGATCAGGGTACGGGGGTTATGGTTGGGGTTTCAATATTAAGGTTATGATTTTAAGATTAGACTTAAACGTTAAGATTAACGCACGAAGTCACGCCTGACGACTCCTGTGATGACTACTGACATGTTATTTCTGTTTTTATGAGAGATTTTCTCTTAATCTTTCCGTAGTTTTCATCTTTTTTCTGTATAAATTTTCAATATGTTCTGCTCCTGTTTTATTTTTTATATATAACTTACTTCATTCCTTTGTGTTAAGATTATTCAAATTGTTTTCGGTTTGCCTGCTGTCTGCGATAAGGCTAATCAACGGAATCTGCTTTTCATATTTTTAAAAATACGCCCCCGAGTTTCCATTTGCGGTTGGTGCACTTATATAATAGAAGGGCGTAACTGCATTTTATACACGTGCATTTCGCGGCTCATGATGTCCACCGCTTCCTTCGGCCTACACATAAAATCCCCATAACCACGAACGCGAACTTTCAAAACCTTACCAAAGAGATTAAAGAGATGACTACAAACATGCTACTCCCTAGATTCCAGTAGACAATTTATTTACATATAAAGTCAACTCAGGTGAAGATGATGCATAGTGCGAATGCAGTGAATATGTTGCAAGCTGTTATTTCGCAAATGCCTCATCTTTTTCACCATTCTTATTTCATTATTATTTTTATGCATTTGGCATATTTATACGAACCGTAACACTGTTCTCAAGTTAACCATTTTTATGCATGCCTTGGCTGTTTCAATGCAGTTTTTAAGGATTTCTCTCTTTTACTGACTATTAGAAAAGCCCTTGCTTCTTTTTCTTTTTATTCTTCGCTGAGTGGAGTCACAGACCTATTTGTCGCCGTCTTCCCATCTCCACTCCTTCTAGTTTCCATCCATTTGACATCAATTTATTTATCCTCTTTACTTCGCCTGTTCGCAGTTGTACATCGGTGGTCTACCAAGTTTTGCAAACAAGAAGAGCGTGACTGTCACGGAGAATTTTCAGGGTTGCCTGGAGGAATTCAACTTCAATGGAGTCCAATTCATCCGCGACACTCAGCGCACCCAACAGGGCCTCATCATGACGGAACAACAGTGGCGTACCGAGGACTGGCTCGAGGCCCTCGGTTATCCTCCTAAAGACCCCATTCTCTGGTGGGGTCCACCAACAACCACTCAGGACCTCAACATCACCGGCTTCGCTATTGGCGGTACTGGCCAGTTGGGTAAATCCTGCCCAACCGCTGTCATGGATCCAACCATCATCACATTTCC